ATTAGCATATATGTCACTGATCCAAGTAACAAAAATGAGATGACAAATGAAACAATGTTATTTATTAATCTTAATTTTAAAAACTAAACAAGAGGTCACCTCACTTTTATAGTTTTATCTTTAACTTTAGAAAATCATGAACACCAGAGGATGTATAAATGCAAAATAAGAACTCCATAAATCACAATAAATCAAATCAAAAATAATATTGCTTTATTAGACTTAAAGGTAAAAGAGAAATTTGTTTAAACAAAAAAAATCACATCTTTGTAACTTCTTGATTATAGAGTTACTTTTATTTGAACAAAGGTAAGAGGAAATATTATGTGAAGGATGACCGAGTCATTAATGAGGAATGAAAGGGTCGATTGTGGACGACTCCGAGCGGAGTGGGCGGCAACACAATGAAGGCTGAGCACAAGGATTCCATTTCGTAGTTCACCATGTCCAATCTCTGTCATTGACAAAGGGTCTTGTATAACACAATTTTGATTAGTAAAAAAGATACAAAAAATATTATGACAAACAAGACAATCAACAAAGATCAAACGACAATGTAAATCTGACACCAACAATACTTCAGTTAGTAAATGACGAGAAGAAAGCCATACACTCCCTTGTTGTGTGTCTTCCTTACTAGAGCCATTTGGTAGACCAATTTTGTAAGGTTGTACAATATATATGAACGTTGAACATGTGAAAGATATCATCCGTCATATAGTGAGATTCCACACTATCAGTTAACCAATCACAAAGTTTAGGAGTCATACCATGATATTGAGACGTTGTGGATGACTCTAACATAGACATAAGACGTGTTATTTATAAATCATTCAATTTTTTTTGGAATTCTCGCCACTATCAACATGCGCACCACCGGGAGCGCCACTGCCAAAAAGGGACTCAGGTCAGATGACACTTTATGTTAAGTTGACATTCTTCAATGACATTATGCAAAACTCACCACATTAAAGTGCAAAGTTAACTAATGGAAAATGCAAAGCTCACCTGTAAATAAAACAAAGCTCATCACTTTGAACACCAAAACTCACCATTTTTTTAATGTTAAAAATAAATAAATAATTAAAAAAATTGCAACGCCGGTCAACCACCGGTCTGCGGCGGTAACCAACGACCAGCAGCAACGGTGGCGTTAATTGGGGAGGCGGTAGCAAATCGATCCCAGCCTAGACTTTCCCGACCGGCCTCCTGTTAGAATATAAATAACTATTCCTGGGCCGCAACCACAAGCTTGAGCTTTTGGTTGAATGGGTTCCTTGACATGGTATCGGAGCCTCGTTGACTAAGAGGTCACAGGTTCGAAACTCAGTGCCACCCAGTTTAAAAAAAATTTAAAGTTTCACGTGCAAGGCTCGAAAAAGAATACGCCTGCACGTGAGGGGGCGTGTTAGAATATAAATAACTATCCCTGAACCACAAGCTTGAACTTTTGGTTGAATGGATTCCTTGACACCTCCTTCTCCAATCTTCTTCGCCGGTCCGTACCGTGATATTGAAATCGCTCGCAGCGGTAACCTAGACATCAATTATCCCAGCGATAATTGCAGTGGTGGGCCCAACAGCGGTGATTTCTAAAGACGGGTCCTAATAGCGGTGGCATGGTGCCTTTCCTGCTCGACCGCTAGTCAGCGACAAAAAAATTTAGCGCAACTTCTCTTTTTTGGTGATCTCGCATTGCAGCGGCGGAGCTCGACTGTTTTCGAAAATGAACGCAGGCAATGACGAGCAAATCTGGTGTAGCTCCTCCCTACTCTGATAGTCTCCACCAGCAACAATGATGGGTGGAGAAATTGACAGAATAAGGAAGTAATCCGCCCCTCCCATCCCAGTGACAAACTCAAGGATTGGCGGGCAACAAGTCGACGACCTTGACGAAGAACGCCGATCTGAGACAACTATAGTAATGTCCTACAGCACGTGGACATCTAACACTAGAATATGCATCTAAGTTGGAAATTCTCGTTCATAGTTATTATCATGATTGATCTGTATGAATTACTTGATTGAACTGCTTGGTTGTGCTTTCGAGAATTATCTTGATTGAAAGGGGTAGAACACATGATTTAGACGTAAGTTGGTTTTTTAAATTACTCGAATTGATATATAGTTTCATTTGGATTTATTGATAATTGGTAGTTTAAAAGCATGAATGGTTATGGTTTGACCATGCATGGTGGGGGTTGGATATAGTTAGAAATTGAACTGTGAACGTTGCCACATTGAATTTTCGATAATTTGATGTTATTTGTTGCTGAAGAGTTGAACTGGTGCAAATATAAGAAATTATCGTGTCACACGGTAGCGTGATAACGGCATACCGTACCGGTACCCTACCTCGATGCTGCCATATGCCAATAATCATAGCTGGGACTTGTGTTCGTTCGGTACCAAGGTACCAAACAGTACGTCCTACCGCCTAGGCTCTAGGTACCGTACCGGTACCGTGACAAGTACCTTTCTGAACTGCAGTTTTAGTTACAAACCTATTTTTCATGTTAAGGATTTATTCCGAGAATGTATATGTTGTATTATACTCCCTCCGTTTGGAAAAACTCTTCCCATTTGATTTGGGGGCAAAAATAAGGAAGTGTTAAATTATAGTTGATTTCCAATTTTGCCCCTGATGTGATGGGTAAAAGTAAGATGTGATGGATAGATTATTAGAGAAAAAGTATGCTGTGATAGGTAGGGTATGAAAAAGTAAGGGTAAAAGTGGTTTTTTAATAGAAAGGGAAAGTGTTTTATTGGAAGTGGAAAAAATGAAAGAGGAAGTGTTTTTTAGGACGGATGGAGTATATATTAAGCATGGGGGTTCACACCTAGCGCTAGGCTGCTGTTTGAACATGTTTGGTGATGATTGATTATGTTTTGCTATATAATGCATGTTGTATATGTTATGTAAATATGAATGGTAAGTACTGTTGAAATAGTATATCAGAGGAACTCTAGGATTAACCTGAATGGATTAGTGGCAAGTTATGCTGCAAGGAAATAGGGGTTAGAGTCATGTGGTACATGCTAAGTCTAATGGTTGTTGGGTAGAAATGTGCGCACGGGGATCCACTACAAGAAATATGCGCATCTGCGATGAATTTTTTTGTCGCAAACCCCATGCATGATTTCTCTCGCAAATGATGGTTGCGACGGAAATTGCGACGGTTTGTGTTCTGTCGCATCATTTTCGTCGCAAGAGCAAATGCGGCAATGACGTTGCAATTCTGCGATGGATTCTACGACGGACACCTTTTATCGTAAATTCTAGGACGAAACTTACAACCCCAATTTTGTGCTCTTGTATTGTATCCTAGCAACGACGGAAATTGCGAAAACATCTATGACATATATTTCTCTAAAATTTACTATGAGTTTTGCGACGGAAGATTTTCGTCGCGGATTTCATGAAAATTGTTATAAATTCTACCAAATTCTGCGGCAATTTTAGCACAAAAACCAACCAGAAAAAGTCACATAAATTTCATAAACAAGCAACAAACATAGGTGTTCAAATTATTATGGATTTATTTTTGTTATTTCAACCCTTTTTCTTTTATCAAATTGATATTGTTTTAACCTTTAATTTTTTTAAAAAAAGAGTCGGAATGACGTGGATTTTGAAAAATTAAGGGCCGGTTTTTGCGAGTTTTAATTTGGAGATATGATAAAATATGTGTTATAATAAAATCTAAAGGAAATGATAGAGTTTTAAAATATGAAATGAATTTATTTGGAAAGATTTAAGATTATGATTTAATTAGTGAAAACGAAGGTAATTGGCAACAGGGGTGGTTGGCGGTGACAATGGTAGCCGGTGACGGAGAATGATCAATGGTTGAGAGAGATAAGAGATAACCTTCTTTCATATTAATATCTCTCAAATTCAAGAGATGTCGGAACTCTCAATTTGAAACTTTTATATATGATGTCTATAGATATCGAATTCAATATCTTTTTTGGCTTCACGAAACACCCAAAAAAATTCTGAATTTCTGATATTTGAAAATGTCAAAACTCATATCTTGTTTGTTCACCAAACACAGCCTAAATTAAAGAACAAATTGAAACAACTAGAGGTTCCACAATTTAGACATCGCGTGTCCGCAATTGATCGGACCAAAGAGCTATTACTCCCTCCGTTTCTCAAAACGGTTCCTCTTTTGACTTTGGGAAAAAATAAGGAAAGTGTAATTTTAGTTGACTTTCCAATTTTGCCCCTGATGTGATGGGTAAAAGTAAGATATGATTGTTTAGTTATTAGTGAAAAAGTATGATGTGATAGGTAGGGTATGAAAAAGTAGGGGTAAAAGTGGTTTTTTAATAGAAAAGGGAAGTGTTTTAAGAAAAACAAAAAAAATGAAAGAAGAAGAGTTTTAAGAAACGGATGGAGTAATAATCTAGGAGATGAGAAGTTCATTATTTATGCATGGAAATCTTCATTTCACTCCTAGGGTGATTCCAAGTCAAAACCTCCCATAAGAGAATTTTAAGCCTATGATCAAATTAGTCACTCCAACTTATCCTAGCATTATATGTTAATCCACACACACACAAACAAAAGCAAAAACAAAAAAGTAGAAGAAAACTTGGCGTTTATATCCACTACAAGAGATGAGAATTGAATGACAAATTGTCCATTGCACACAAATTTAAGGATTTATACAGGACCAAAACCTGACAATAACTTTACATAATCCTCCCATCGTTACAACTTACAACATTTACAATATATGTATGCTCTTCTTTGTCATGTATGTAAGTATGTATATGCTACACATATATAGATATAAAAATAGAATTGTTTCAAACATTATTTGACATTTAAAAAATGCTCATTTTCCCCTATCATCACAATAGAACACCAAATTGTACACATGAGTACGTCCAAAACTGCCTGTGGCTGTAGAAATGTTAATAGTTGAAGATCTAATAATTACTAGTAATAATAATAATAAAAGGTCTGCATATATGTATATATCTCACCCTCCCCGTCAGACATCATTCGTGAAATTGCGCTAAATTTGTCGTCTTGTTGTCGTTGTTATAATTACTCCGTAATAAATAAAAAAAATCAACGTTGCATGTTAGGGTCAGCGAAGAAGAGGGTGTTACAGATGTCATAAGGGCCGGGGACGGGTCCAGGTGGCAGGAGGCAATTGGAGTTGAAACGCCGGCCGCCGGTGGCGGCGGGGACGGGGAGGGCAGCGGGGTAATTTGGGTCGTAGAGGAAATTGTGTCTTGATGCCACGTCACCCAGTGTATCGTCTTCCTGGCTGGTGATGGACGATAATGCCCTTGTTGCTACCTCCCCCAGATCGTCGTTCTTGGCAAATCTCCCCCTTACCCTTGGCCTGTTGTCCGCCAATGTTTTTCTACATTGATACTGTAATAGCAGATTCTTCATGTCAAGAAACTTTTTTCACTGAAAATTTAAGTTTATTTTGAATTAATAGAATGTCTATTTTTAACTATAATTTTAATTTTGAAGCATGCCTAACATCATTCTGAAAGATATAGTGTTCATTTTAAAACATGTTTATTATGAAACAGTATGGATCCAATTCAATATGCAAATATCTTTTATTTTTTGTTATGGAGGTAGAGAGTAAATAAATACCTCGAGTAAAAAAAAGTACCTTGACTAAGCGATATATTCTACTACCTCCGTCCCAAAAAGATTTACACGTTTTGACTAAAGTTGAAATTAAGGAAGAGATGATTTTGTATTGACTTTCCAAAAATACCTTTGAAGTGATGGGTAAAAGTAGGATGTGATGTGTAGATTATTAAGAAAATGGTATGATGTGATAGATAGGTTTTGAAAAAATAAGAGGTAAAAGTGGTTTTTTAATAGAAATGGGTAGGAGATTGTGGGACGCAATTTTTTTTGAAATGTGTAAATCTTTTTGGGATGAAGGGAGTATCTGTTTTTTAAAACACTTTCTCTTTTATTTTTTTCTTTCTCCAAAACACTTCTATTTTCTATTAAAAAACTACTTTTTCCCCTATTTTTTCTTACCTTACTTATCACATCATATTTTTTCACTGATAATCTATTCATCATATCTCACTTTTACCATCACATAAAAGGCAAAACTAGAAATTTAACTATAAACATATACTCTTTATTTCACTTATTAATCGAAATAGGAACTCTTTTTAGAAACTGAAGGACTAGTAGCTTTTTTGTAAAATTAATATGAAATAATTTTAGTCGAACATCGTAACGCGTAACAGAAAAAAAATTATTGAGGTAGGTAGTAAATAAAAAAAAGTACCTTGATTTTCTTGTCAAAATTTCGGTCCTTCCTCTTCTGCAAATATCTATGAATCCTCTCCTTCCTTTCTTCAACAGAAAGCTTGCCAACCTTAAAGGTGGTATCTTCCAAGCATGTGATGTTTGATGCCAAAGCTGTGTGGCCCCCACTTCCTCCACTAACCAAATGCTGATTCTCACTCTTTATTGCCTTCATCATTTTATTAATTAACCAAATATTGTTTGTTAGTTAATTGAGTCTAATCAATTAACTAATTAATGACAATATATATGCTCATCACTTTTATTAGTTTAATTTAGTACACCATCAGTTTCACCATACATTCTTTATCACTTATAAAACTTTTAAATCGATATTTAAATTGTGTGGTGAAGACACTTAGAGGTATACTTAGAGTATACTTTTTGGTGCATCCCTAACAATTTTGTAGTTTAATTCATAAGTATCACTATAGATTATTGTCGCCAAAATACTTCTTCCATTCGTAAAATGTCTAAAATATTCTCAAAATAATTTCTACATGTACTCCTGCAATAAACTACGTAATGGGGTGCACTTTACACATTTTTGGTTGGGGTAGAAATGTTTTATGGGGTGCATAAAAATTAGGGCGGTAGGGTTTTGTGAAACAAATGGAGTAAAATTTAATTCTTATGTAATTTTTATATATATACAAGTTTTATATTTTATTTGTATATCAATTGTTCAATAAAGTACGTGAATTGAAAAAAATATTAGATTTTGCCTCATTTTAGCTTGCATACAATCCATTTAGAGACGGATTAAGTAGGGAGTATAAAATTAGTTTACTCATTATTACTCGATATATTATTAGTCAAATTATCAATAAGAATATGTAAAGAAAAAATATATAAATTGAACATGCAAAAAATAATTGCATTTTTCTTTTAGCATATGTTTGGAGAGCATCTATACAATACATCCAGATGTTAGATATTTTTTTGTATACCCGCACCAATACTCATTTTTTAGTACCATGCAGAATACTCATTTTTGAGTACCATGCAGAATACTCAATTACCCAGTAACTGAATACTCGTTCTCGAGTATTACTGAATTTTGGAAAAATGCGTATTTAGTTCCTAAAAAATAAGTATTTAGTTGCTCGTAAATGAGTATTCAATTACTATTAAATGAGTATGGGTAGTTACTGTGGATGTACACAAATTATCATATAACCGATCGTTCGTATATATTACAATGTTTGAATGAGTGGAAAAAGAGAGGAAAGAAAAAGAGAGGAGACAAAACACAAATTTCAAAGCATTTCTCTTTGGATGAGAAGGAAATGAAAAAAGAAAGAAGAAAATGATAGCGTCCACCCCAAAACTTTTCTCGAGAGCAAAAGTGGTTAATAAATAAAGGAGCTTCATCTATTTTTCGTTTCTTTTTTTTTTTCAATTCCTAGTCATACAAATATCAATTATTTTCTTTATATTTTTTCTCCATTTTCTTGCGATCTCTTCACTTACTTTTCTCTCATTTTCTTTGTTTCCATTTAATTTTCCCCTCTTCTCCAAACAAGGCCTTAGAGCGGACTAAAAGAATCATTTTAAAGAACCATTTTAAAAAGAATTGAACCAGGGCCGGCCTCGAAAAATGAAAAAATAAAATTGGCCTGGTCCCAAATTTTCATTTTGTGCCCTATTTTATATTTTTAGAATACTTTTACTTTAAAATTATTAACAAATTTAAAAATATGGTGCCCTAAATTTTAAGGAGCCCTGTGCGGTTGGCCACTTTGTACACCCTCCGGGCCACCCTTGAATTGAACACTTTTTAGGGTCTAAAGATTAATTAGTACGGAAATAAATCTTGATTAAACATTTAAACCAATAATTATTTGGTCTTAAAAAGCCATTAATTAGCCAATCATTACCTGAAATGGGTCACTGTGGCAGTTATAAACACGTGGAATGTTATCCGGGCAGAAAAGTCTGTTGTTATTATTGTCTCCTTGAAATTCCGGCGGGGGAGGTAAGTCTGCTCCGAGATAATAGCCGCCGCCGGCGCATACGCCGGAATTATCACCGGACAAGGCGGCGTGGCTGAGGTTCCCCGTCAGGTAATTGCCGAAACCCGGATCAAGAAACGAACAAGAAGGGATATTGTGCAAGTAGGAAGGCGCGGAAGAAAGGCATTCCTCCTCGTACCCCATCTGCGGCGGTGCAACCGCGGCCGCCGCCATCAGCTGCGCGATCTGGCTGTCCGGCGGCGGGTACTGCTGCCCCCCGCCGCCGGCAACATGGTGGTCCTCGAACGAGGAGATGTCGAATTGTTCGAGCCCAATGGCGGCGGGGGCGGGGCCGTTGAGGACGATTTCGTCCCCGCCTCCGCCGGCCGGGCCAAAGTCGATCGACGCCGACAGGTCGTCTCCGGTGTCGAATATGATCGACAAGTGGTTGTTCTCTCCGCCGCCGCCGGAGGCGGCGGCGGACATCTGGTTCGCCGCCGCCGCTTGATTCTTCACCTCCCCACACCCAGGGTCAAACGTGCTGACGTCAGGGGTGAGGGGGAGATGGGTGGAGTAGGAGGAATGCTCCTCGTACCCGCCGCCTCCGCCTCCGCCGTTGGAACTCGAACCCACCTCGGAAAGCTGTAGCGTTTCCGGGAACAATTCGGACTCGCTAAACTCCAACATTTGTGCGCTCAAAGAGCTTCCAATTTCATCCTATATGTCACAATTAATGTTATTATTACAAACAAAAACAAAAAAAAAACACAATAGAATTGTGATATTTATATGTAAATGGATATGGATGAAGAGAAGGTGATTGCTATGATGTCTTGTTCGGAATCTCCTAAGGATGGTTTATTCGATGCTGGCTATGAAACTATGAATTGGAAGGAGGGGGTGGGGTGGGGTGAGGGTGGGGGTGGGGGGTTGTCCATCCCGACTC